AGGAGAAAATATTTGCCAAGAACATATCTGCAGAAGGACTTGTACCTACACTGTATTAAGAAGTACACCATGAACATGTGGATCTTGTTACTAGGATGCGAAGATGGTTCAACATACACCAATCAATTAAGGTGATACACCACATTAACAAATGATACAAATAACATGCTCATCATAAATAGATATGGGGGAAAAAAGAAAAAATTCAACACCCTTTAATGGCAAAAACTAGGTTTTGAGAGAATTTACCTCAACATAATAAAGGACATTTATGCAAAGCTCACAGCTTACATCATACTCAACAGTGAAAAACTGAAAGCATTTCTTCTATGATCAGGAACAAGGCAAGAACGCCCACCTGGGTCACTTCTATCCACTTCTATTCATCGTAATAGAAGTCCTAACTAGAACAATGGACAAGAAAAAGAAATAAAAGGGATCTAAATCAGAAAAGCAGAAGTAAAATACGTCTGTTTACAGATGACATGATCTTATATGTAGAAAACCCTAAAGACTCCACCAAAAAGCAATTAAAAATAATACATGAATTCATAAAGTTGCAGGATAAAAATCCAGTATTTAAAAATCAGCTGCATTTCAATACACTAATACTATCCCAAATTAAGAAAACAATTCCATTTACTATAATATCAAAAAGAATAAAATATACTTAAGAGTAAACTTAACCAAAGAGGTGAAAAACTTGTACACTTAAAACCACAAATCACTGATGAAAGAAATTAAAGATATAAATAAATGGAAAGACATCACATGTTCATAGATGGGAAGCCTTAATATTGTTAAAATGTCCATACTGCACAAGGCCATCTATAGATTCAATGTAATCCCTATCAAAATCTCAATAGCATTTTTTAGAAAAATTGAGAAAAAAAAATCATGAATTTCACACTGAACCACAAAGACACTAAATATACAAAGAACAATGCTGGAAGCATCACACTTCCTGACTTCAAAATATATTCCAAAGCTTCAGTAATTAAAACAGTATGGTGCTGGCATAAAAACAGACATGTAGACCAAAGGAAAAGAACAGAGAGCCCAGAAATCAACCCATGCATATAGGATCAAGCGATCTTCAACAAGGGTGCCAAGAATACACAATGGAGAAAGAATAGTCTCTTCAATAAACAGAACTGGGAAAACTGATGTCCACATGCAAAAGATTAAAATTGGACCCATATCTTACACCAGAGGTGGGGAACATCTGGCCCGCAAGCCATATAAGAAGAAATCATTTGGCCTGGCTCTGTCCAGGCAACCACAGGCGGGACTCAAAATTCAATAAATCTAGGAGCTTTTTTCATAGCTAATTTTTAAGTTGATAATTTTGTATGGTCCATGAATGACATTATAAATATCCAAATGGCCCTTGGCAGAAAAAAGGTTCCCCACCCCCATCTTACACCATACACAAAAACCAATTCAAAATGTGTTAAAAATTTAAATGTAAGACCTGGAACTATAAAACTCCTAAAAGAAAAACATAGGGGGAAACCTTCATGATATTGGGTTTGGCAAATGGTTTTTTAGATATGCCATCAAAAACACAAGCAATAAAAGCAAAGTTAGACAAGTGAGACTACATAAACTAAAAACCTCTGCACAGCAAAGGAAACAATCAACAGAGCAAAAAGGAAACCTACAGAATAGGAGAAAATACTTGCAAGCCATATATCCGATATGTTATTAATATCTCCAGTATATAAGAAACTCTTACAACTCAAAGCAACACAAAAACAAATAACCAGATTTAAAAATGGGTGAACCACATAAATAGACATTTCTCCAAAGAACACATATAAATGGGCAACAGCTATATGAAAAAATGCTAAACATCACTAATTATCAAAAACCTAATCATGCAAATCAAAACCACAATGAGATATCACCTCATGGCAAGTGAAGGGTAAAGAAGCAGAAAAAAAAAGACGTTGCCAACGATGTGGAAAAATTGGAACTCTCATAAGCTCTTGCGAGGTATGTAACATGGTGCAGCCACTGAGGGAAACAGGATAGAAGTTCCTCAAAAAATTAAAAATATAATTACGATACGATCCAGCAATCCTACTTCTGGATATATATCCAAAGGAATTGAAATCAGTATCCTGAGGAGATATATGCACTTCCATGTTCATTACAGCATTCACAACAACAAAGATATGGAAGCAACTGAAATGTCCAACGTCAGATGAATGTATAAAGAAAAGTGGTATATGAGTACAATGGATTATTCAGCCTTTAGAAAGCAGAAGGAAATCCTGCCATATGTGACAACACAGATGAACATGGAGGACATTATGCTAAGTAAAATCTACCATTCACAGAAGTCCACTTATGAGGGATCTAAAATTGTCTAACTTATAGCAACAGATGGGAAGATGGTAGTTAGCAAGAACGGGGTTGGGAGAGAGAGCAGTTGCTGTTCAACAGATACATAGTTTCAATTATTCAAGAGAAATTAGTGTTAGAGATCTACTTAGGTACAACAGTGTGCCTATAGTTAACCATGCTGTGTTGTACACTTAAAAACTTGAAGTGGTAGATCTCATATTAAGTGTTCTTACTGCAAAATAAATAAATTAATAAATAAAATTTTTTAAATGGTTTTAAATTCTCAAAGATTTTTGCTGAAACTGGCCTAACTTAAGATATAGTTAAAACAGTCTGCACATATTTAAAAGGCCACTTGGTGTTTTACCAACTACCTAAAATAAAAATTATAAAGACATAATCTATGTATAGCACCTAGGCCAATGCTTAGGTCACACTGAATAGTTAATAAGTGTGATTTTCTGTCCTTCTTTGCAACAATCTTTAGAGTTGTGTGGGTCTAGCATGGTTTATGTCATCCCTTATACAGGCCCAGCATTACGCTATTGCATGTCTGGTATAATTTCACCTCAGTTGACTATGTAAAGGAAACTTCCAGGTCTTATTTAAGTCAACACCTGTGAGCATAGAAAGATCAGTTCACTTTGTGTTTCTGAAGAGGCACCCATCCCTTTCCAATTAGTGCTCTGTTGCACCCTAGATGTGGAACTCGATCTTCTCAAAATATGTTTTCTTTAAAAAGTATACATTACATAGCCAGTAAGATACACTGTACAAAGAGCAATGCATCTTAGACACCAAGCTGCTTTTTATAACCAGTGGTCACAAGAGTTGCCCCCTGCCCCCCAACTCTCCTTCCCCTTTGCCCCTGGTTCCTCTGCCTACCCCTCTACCATACCCCTGCTAACTTTCCTATTCATCAGCAGTCGCGCCCCATTGTCTACTTCCTTAGTGCACTCCTCTCTTCTGCCCCTACCATCTCCTGCATGAATTTAAAAAAAAAAAAAAGAACTTTTTAGAAAGTCAAGAAGTGAAAACATTCTTCACCACTGAGCAGAAGCATTTGACACTGATCTTTTTAAATGGAAAATCTCAGACCAGGGACCTAGATGGTCTCCATGGCTGTTGTAAGTCCAGCACACCTCATGCTGTGGGCTTCCACCCCTTAAATTAACCAACAACTCTCACTGTAATAGATTAAAAAGCAGGTCACTTTAGAAGTTAAACATTTATATTTGTACCATCTAAGGAGATTTTAATGAAACATTCGGAAAACTAGAAAGTAACTGAGCAACTAACTCTAGCTGGAGGCCAGGGAGAGGTCTCCTGACAGGTGGCTGGGATGACTTACAAAAGGAAACCACAGCAATTGGCAACAATTCATGGGCTTTTGACTTTCAGCTGAAAACCAAAACCACTTTCCAAGAGGACAAATGTTTATAAAATATTCTCTTCAGAGTCAAATGTGCAATTTCCTCACCCTCCTTAAAACATTAAACTTTCAATGGAAAGAATTAAGTCAAACGCCCATGAATTGTTGCCAATTGCTACGGTTTCCTTTTCTAAGTCATCAGAGCCACCTGTCAAGGGACCGGCCTCCAGGCCAGGGCAGGCTTCTCAGACGGCCTTCCCGGGCTCAGATAACCATTACCATAAAGGCGGGCTCGGGTTGCACCCGCTGAAAGGGCTTAGGACGCTGAACATACTGAACCAACATCATTTCAACAGCTCCATCCGACACATCATAAGCTTAAATGCTGAGCCAAATTATAAGGGGTTGCGTCAAGCTCATGATGTACGAGAGAGCACTTCCCTCAATTCAGCCCTCTCCCCTTCCGTCAGAAGCGAGCTCCCTTTTAAATCCAAGGAAATTCTCCACCTACAAAAGCCTGGCGTTCCCTCGGGTCCCTGCACACTTGATTCACACCAGAAATGCTGAATCATGACTCCGAGGTTGTAAAATAAAAACTATTTCGACTGGGACGCCAGGACGCTCGGAGGAGCCCACATTTCTGCATTCCTTTGCTTTCCGCCTTCTTAAAAGTCTAAACCGGGGCCCTTTCCGCAGACTGGAGAGGTGTCCGGGAGCGGCCGAGGCTGCGGGTCGGGAAAGATCCTCCGCGCGCTCTCCTGCTGCTCCCCAAAACTCACGCAGCCCCCGCAGTTCCCGCCTCCCGCCGCGTCTCCTCCTCAGGGGACTGATCCACGCCCCGCCTGCAAGGCTGCCCTACAGCCTCCGAGGAATTCCCAACTTGGGAGCATCACCGCCACGGCCACCCGTTCGGAGCTTCTGCGGCCCAAACCGGTCTCGCTAGACCCGGTTCCCGCAGGGGTGGGGGTGCGGGACAGTTCCTCCAGCCCCCCTCGCAGCCCCGGTCCGACGGACGAGCCCGCCGAGCGCGCAGACGCTGAGAAACTCGATCCCAACTCCCCAGCCCGCGCCTCCCGAACCGCGCGGGAGCCCAGAGGCGCGGAGCCGAGGTCCCCGCAGGGGGATGGCGCGCACAGCCCGGGGAGGAGCGAGGCGCGGAGGGGAGAGGGGGGCGAGAAAAGAAACGCCCCCCAAGCCCGTCCCGCAACTTCTCCCAGCCCGGGCTGGGGAAGTGAGGAGGCGCCGCGGCGGCTGCGCGCGCGGGGCGAGGACTCACTTGAAGGTGAGGACGCAGAGCGGCCGGTAGGACTTGTGGCTGGTGTTCTCGGCCATGCCCTTGCCCCAGAAGTCGTTGGCGAAGACGCTCCAGCGCAGCGGGGCGCCGGGCCGCAGGTCGGGGTTGTTCACGATCGCCCACACGTCGTCGTGCACGAACTCGCCCTGCAGGGAGCGGCCGTAGCACAGGCAGCTC